GGAGGAGGAGGACGAGGAGGAGGAGCTGCAGCAGCAACAGCAGCAGGAGTAGCAGGAGTACTAGTAGTACAGTCGTCGTCGTCGTCGTAGTAGTAGTCGCAAACTGTAATCAGAGCAGGCAGGAGGAAGGCTCCGATTCTGCGACCAACCAGAGTTCAGGATTTGTCAGGCTGGATCCTGTCTCCCTGGAAATTGAACCCGCCAAGCTTCGGTTTGCCACAGTGCCGGGAGGCATTTTGCTGTTGCATTGGGGTGAACTGACTTCGCAGGTAAATCTCGAAGGCGCTGACTGTCTAATGAAGAGCGGAGAACCCCAAACCCGAAAACGCTAGCTTCTAAAAGCCCTTTACCCTGAATTGCGTACCTCCGTGTTGAAAGCTCAGGCGTCCTTTGACGCGATGATCAGCAGCATCGACAGCAACAATGACAAAGTCGCCCGGGACTCAGATTCCATCGCTAGGATTTGGGTTTGGGGTGTAACGGTCAGGTTTTTTGGGTTTCAGCATTTAGGGGGCTTTCCGTCAGATCGGCTTCGAAACAGGTTTACCACACCCAATCACACATGCTGACCACTGTTCAGACATCAACACATATCGCATAACAAGGCAGCCGCAGATCCTTGTCTTTAACGTCAGAACCATGCATGGATGCACGACATTCCATGACCGGGACTACGAAGTCTTCATTACACTCCACTGGGTGCCACGATAAACCATGAACCCTAAACGTCTGGACCATGTAAACCCTAAACCCAGACCCGCCCCTAGAACCCTAAATCCCCATAAACTCTCAAGCACTGAACACTAACGCCATAGAGTGCTAACCGCTGAACCGCCAAACCCTAGGCCCCAAAAAGTCACTCCAGGTCCAATATGCCGAGCCGAGGCCTCAAGAAACGGACCTGGGTTGCCACCGGTGCTTCTTAAAACGAGAGCTGCTGTTCAGGGCTCTTTAGAGCGCGGATCTTACAAATAAGACTTTCAGGCTGTACATGGTAGTCCTGTACTGACAAGCATTCTACCAACTGAGTTCTATGCGGGGTGCTTTGCTAGCAGTTGCAAGAATAACTGTAAGCAGTGCAGAGCGCGGCATTGACATATTTTTGTGATCATAATCGTAGCGACCAAGAAACATGCAGCTCGAGCATTCTCTACAGCAAGGTTCGTTCGGTGGCTAACCCACAGCGAAGGGGATGAGCAGGCTCGCGAGGGGTCATGGTTGTTGGGGTATTCAAGGCTCGGCTTTGTACTAAACTCCAGCAATTATTGTCAACGGGAACAGCGCGTGCCAGGAGCTGCATATGCTTTAAAGGTGTGCGAGGGCACTGGACCAAATCCAGCTTGCCATTTGTCCTGTGCAGTCCTCCCGATGCATCGCGCTCTCTTTCTCTCTCTCTCTCTCTCTCTCGTACTCTCGTTCTCTCTCAACCCCCTCTCCTGAACAACACGGGGTATCAGGACGAACGGCAAGCCTATGTCCAGCATTGAAGTAAATCGTCCGGCACAGGGCCATTTGGGAACTGATACTGGGACTGGCAGGTAGGCCCAGTTAAGATACCGACTGATCGCTCTCGGCGTATGGAGTGCTACTGGCTATTCGTGAGACGCCGTCTGCATAGCAAGCATTGAACGGCGACCTAAGTTTTGCAGCGGGCAGTGACTCGCCAATGCTGCTTCCATCACCTCGTTAACAACAGCCCTGTGTCATCACCTGCAGATCGGATCAAAGTCCCTCCAAGTAATGACCGTGGCCACCAATGTTTGCTCGTTGGCAGTATGTCTACCGCTGCTGCGACTACTACAGGGCCTGTTGTGACTCTTGCCCACTTCCAGCACGAGTATTCAGTGCTCAAACACCGAACTTAAAGCACAGGGCACTACACTGATTGCCCAAACTGCCTGGAGAAAATTACATGGCTGAAAGCACACACAAGTGGCGAGGACCATTGCTGCTAACTCGGATGATAAGAAGGCCCCACCAAAGAATCAGGGGACCCAGACAAATCTAGGGAGCAAGCTGGCACAAGTTGCTGGATCCTCCGAAATGCTGTCAATATCGACCCGGGCTCATGGCATAGCTGATAGCAGCTCTGATTACTCCTATTGATAGCAATGCAAACATGTAGCGGCTTCAGGCACTTTTGAATATCCAGGTGCAGTTGTGCAACATATCCTCAGCCCTGCCTTTTTTTCTCTTACATTGAGTTGCGATACTCACGAGCAGCACAACCCATGTCAGGATGTTCGAATGCGAGATGATGCGGCTGGAAAGAAGCAAGATCAGACATATAGTATGCCGTATCTCCTAGAAGGTAGACAGTGCAAACTGTGGCAGCTGGCAGTCGCGAATCTAGCGCGCTAAAACCCATTGAGCCCAAAACCCTGAACCCGAAACCCCTAAACCCTTAAACCCCTAAGCCCTTAAACCCCTAAACCCCTAAGCCCTAAAACCCCTAAACCCGTAAACCCTAAGCCCTTAAACCCCTAAACCATGAACTGCCCTGTTCTTGCCAGGCTCAGCAGGTCTGGGAGGTGCAGCTCTAAGACGCTTTGGGGGGAGGGTTCTGAAAATTAGGGTTTAGGGCCTAGGGTTTAAGGTCCTAGGGTTTAAGGTTTAGGTTTTAGGGTTGACTTACCGTGCCGTTCATGCAGTTACAGAGCGCACATGTGAGTTTGCGCGGGTTCTTAGAAAGTGCGAGGCCCTTGTTGTGGGTGTCCTTACAGTATAGGGATCAAAGTATTTAGGGTCAAAGACCGGGGTATCTTCTGCTCTGAAACTCCGATACCTGTGCAACTTCATGGGATTCCTGTTTCTGTCAGTGCCTCCAAAGGGCCCAGATTCTGGGCGCAGGGTTTACGGATGTGGAGGGTGCTCAGCTCTGACCTTTGGCTGAAGAGAGGGTTCTGCAGCGACGCGTTTCAAAGCCGGGATGGCCCAGATGCCAAGAATTCTAAGATTTCGTGTCGACGGTGGAAAGGCGAATAAGAGGACGGGAGCAGGGCCCAAAATAGTCGTGCCCTCTTCAGTTTCGCGAAACTCCGATTCCACCAGATCCTAGCATCCAAGTCCAAAGCAATCACGAAGCCTTCGAAGCGCAAGCAAACGTCCGAATCTGAACGCCTGTGAAGCCCTCGAAGTCCGAACGCAACGTCCAAAGCCCTAAACATCAAGCCTGAACCCCGAAAAACCACAAGCCCTACCAAACTCCTAAAACCCCAAAACTCTAATCCCTAAAACCCTAAACCCTTAAATCCTAAAAACCCCTTAACCCCTCCCAAACTAACGTCGTGGATCTTGCCGAGGCCGCAACCGGCAAGGCTTTGCCCAAGGGCCCACTCCCCCGCCTCGACGCGATCATCCGCATGCTCCGATCTCAAAAACCAGGGCTTTACACAATCAATATATATATATATATATATCTAAGCTTATATGAACATTGCAAATGTGTATATAAATATAAATATAAATATAAATATATATATATATATTCATACATACATACATACATACATACATACATACATATCTTCTTCCAGACGCAGCAGAAAGAAATCCGCCTCGCGAGTCGTAGCAATACTCTCAGGTGGAGCATCGGCGCTTCAAAATGAGCGCATAACTACAGCACCAGGCCACAATAGCCGTCGGTGCAAAGCTCATCGCATCAGAAAGTAGTGACCTTGTCAGACCATCACTCAATCGCAACGTACAAGGCAGATGAGGTATGCATTTGCAGAAACCTCCTCAAGCACATACATACATATATATATGCATACATACATACATACATACATCCATGCATGCATGCATGCATGCATACATATATATATATGCATACACCAAATAGGGTTTCGGGCTCAGGGACGCAGTGTTCAGACATAGGGACATGGGTCTTTGTTGGCTTGTCGGGTCGGTGTCTTGTCGCCAGAAAGATCGCTACCTGAAAGAGAACCCCATCTCCGAACCCTCAAGCCGCAAGCCCTAACCCTGAAGCCGCACACACCGGGACCCTAAAGCCCTGACTTAAGGCTCGAAATGACTCTAAATCCTAACTCCCTGAATCCTAGAGCCACTCCAAGCCTTGAGATGCCAAGAATCCGAAAGCCTGTACCTTAGGGCGCTCGATTCTATATATCTGGTTGTCTTGACAGCCTCAAGCTTTGAACCCGGAGACTTATCAAGTCCTAAGTCCTACCAAACATACTGAGTTACTGTTGATGATATAAATCCTGCATTACCTTAAGGACCCTACACTATGGGAATTATGGTATATTCCTTATTATGGGCAATGCAGGAGTTATGTCATCAGCCGTATTCAACCAAGCTCTTTCCTTTCTCGAGGTCGCCTCACCTCTCTGGCAACAGCACCTACAAAGAGGCCCAAAGCCTCAGCCTTCCCATCCCACCGGGGTATAGGATTCAGCATGTAGAGTTTAGACTTTGGGGTTCCTTTAGTGTCTCCTTTGAGGATTTAAGGTTTCAGGGTTTAGGGTTTCAGGTGGCAACAGGAGAGCCCTGGGATGCCCCGAACTGCATGGGAAGCTCTGCTTCAGGCCAGGACGGCGCTGGACAAAGGCGAAGAGGACGGTCTAGTGTCGACTTCAACCTCAAGTATTGCGTTCAGGTTTCAGGTCTCAGGTGTTGGGATTGGAGGGAGATGCGCTGTCATCTAATTCATGTGGAGTGCACATGTGTTGCATCCAGCTGCAGTACCTTGCACAGGACAGTGCCTTTTTGCGCCTCGCCTGCAGCGCGTGCAGTCCCACCGGGAGCTCGTGAAGTGTTCGGGAAAGATTGAAGCAGTACAGTTCCCTCCATTGTCACAAGTGGTAACTCGAACTGCAGCCTTTCCGGGCCGGGATAGAGCTGTCAGCGCAGCTTTTGTAGGTTGTCAGACAAATTGCTGATCCAGCTGGAGAGCGATGCAACTTGGCAGAACCTGGCGCTGATAGCAGGTAGCATGCTCAGCTGCGCCGGTAGCATGAGAAAGCTGAGATACCCTTGCCCGGCCCGGTGTAAAGGGGCACCCTGCGTCGGGGGACTGTGCCCACAGTTTCGCTCATTGATGTCTGTCGAAGCATCACATCCTCGAACTTCCGTGGCTTCAAGGCGAACCGGATAGATGCTGCTTTCGTCCAGTTCGATTACAGCTGCACTGGCTTTTTGGACAATTCCGAAGTCAATGCGATGCTGCGTGGCCGAGATATAATGCAGCAGCTCTAGGTTGAAAGTGCGCCGACTGGCAAAACCGGTGGCATATGTTAGTATACGTTTCATATTGTAGAATCGTGCATGGTATTGTAGTACATTATGTTACAGTGGTCTATATTCAAGGTTCAGGGTATCGTGTGGGGAGCTAGAACTACAGTAGAACTTGTTCTCGTCACACACTCTAGAACGACTGCGTCTCTCCATGCTCTATAGGTCTAGCGCCAGAACCCAAAGCCCTACAAACGCAAGCCTCATACAAACCATTATAGTAATCACTATAGCACTATTATAGTGCGTAACCATGATAGTAATCATTATGGTACTACTATTACCATGATAGTAGTCATGATAGTACTATTACAGTAACCATTATAGTAATCATCATTATAGTACTATTATAGTAGCTACCCCGAAACCGAAGAAGTCCCGTTGGCCCGAGAAACAAAAAAGGCTCAGAAGTTGGCACTGCAAGGGTTTAGGGTTTCGGATCACGGCGCTCGCTGAGGGCTTTTGTGTTTGTTCTGGATCCCGGACTTAGGGAAATCCTAAACCGCAAGCCCTAACCCTGCTCATTGGGGGCTCGGAACTCGAATGGTTTGAGTTTTTGCAGGGTTCCGGACTTCCGGTTCATCGTTCTTAACCTAATTACTGTTAGGGTTTTAACCCTATCACATGGATTTGGGGTTTAGGGCTTTAGGGCTTTACCAAACAGAGGTTTGCGGGAGCGTTTTGTTGCTGGCTGGGCTCTGCCTATCTAATACTAAATCCGTAAATCCGGTGTTCAGAGCATCCCAAACCCCAAAACCCACAGGAGTACCAATCCATGAGCCCAGTCATTGCTAGTCCAGGTTTCACTACCTGGGCTTTCCGGACCCTTCCGAGGTACACTGTGGGTTGCTTCAGGGTCTCGGGCTTAATTCGTTTCGCGGTATTTAGGGTTGTTTGGTTTGTTCGTCGAGCTTCAGTGGTTTCCGGGCTTAGGGTTTACCGGTTTAGAGGTTTAGTGTGTTGTGGTTTTGGGGTCTTGTGACAGCTTTGCGGACCTTGTTGGCAAGTCCTATTAGAGCCGTGTTCCCAAGAGGCTGCTTTTTCGGTCTCCGTATGGTGCAGACAGTCTGTTGCTTCAGGGTCGGGCTTGACCACCCTACAGCCCTCAACGGCTCAACAAAAAAATCGACTGGGCACTGGGACCCCTGCATCCTGAACCTAGCACGATCTTTGAACCACTTGCGAGAATTGCCAGAGCAAGCTATGTTCGATAACCCCATGCCTTCTGTGCAATCTAGACCAATGACGTCTCTATCCCCGAAAATCCTTTGTCCTTAACCAGTCCTGAACCAACAGGAACGATATGGCGTGAATGAAGTGATATAATGCTTTGCACTTTCCCCTGCTGCTGATTCGCTGCTGCACGAAATTGTGCAATTCCCAGTGTTACCAGCAACTTAACTACTTACCTGACATCCCCGGAAGGATGCAGAAGTCCAAGATCTGGTGAAGAAGCTCGACAAGAACGGCACAGGGAAAGTCGAGAAGGAGGGATAGGGAAGGAACCTCTGCGCCCCTTTCCACCAAAAGAAACAACTCGCAGACCCGACGCTCACACGGATAGACCCTGACGCTGGAGTCATGGGCTTCCGGTTCCAGTGCACACAATCCACGTTTTCGGGCAGCCGTCCTAACGCACTAATCCAGATAGAGACCCTTTCAAATTCAGGGTTCTCGGTTGCCCAAGTCGGGCAGCCGCACAAGCCGCCAGGAGGAGTTCAAGCATTTCGTGGAAGAGTTTGGTGGCCGCCTGTCCACTGAAACTTCAGCTCCAGGGTATCAGGTTTCGGATGTAGCGCATCCGGGGCTCTGAACATCAATTCGCCAGCAGCTGCTTACTAACCTCTGTGCTAAACCCTGAACCCTACGACAAAGTCTACAAAGAAAAGGCCCGCAAAATAGAAGAGCCCGAAGATGGGAGTGTAGTTCGTCTTTCGAGGCTGCGACCTCCTGTTCGAACGACGGCGCGCGAAGACTCTGCGGGACCTCAGGGCTTAGGGCCTGTAGGGCTTGTAGACTTGTAGGCTTTAATGTAGGGGCCTTAGTATTTAGAATAGGGTTTGGGGGTGTTATTCTTTAAGGAAAAATTAATCATCAACCCCCAGGGCCCAGAATAGTATTGGTACTTCTTCAGGCTCCTCTATTAGGGATGTCCAGGGGGTCTACTGTTTAAAGTTTAGAGGTTTTCCCGTATTTGAGGTCGATGGTTTTTGTCAGGGGGTTGGTTTACGACAAGTGCTCATTGATGGATCGCAACCGACGGACAGACTTCAGGCTCCCCTACCTTATCCCAAGGCCCGAGAGTCCACCTTACACTGAAAAGCCCTCCCCGAATCTTAGAAACCATATAAACCTTACACCCTAAACCCAAAAGCTTTAAACTCTAACCCTGACACTCTAAGCCCTAAACATGCCCCCCCCCCCTCAAGCCCTAAACCTTAAAACTCTAACCCTGAAGCTGCCTTAGGCTCCAAACCCTCACCCACCCTGCGCCTTAAACTCGAACCCTTTCACTCTAAACCCCTAAACTCGGTTTAGGGTTTAGGGTTTTGCTTAGGGTTTTGGGTTTAGGGGCCCTAAACCCTAAACCCTAAATCCTACACCTGAGCCCTTTGTTCGCCATGTCCAGGACCGTTCGGGCTCCTCGGCCTCCATGGACCGCAGCAGAGAAGAAATCCAGGCGACGACTTAGGGTTTATAGGGTTTAGTTTAGGGTTAGGGTTCGGGGTTTAGGGATGTCTGGGCTTTTATTTATTCGGAAGCGCCAGGATCACATGATGTTTGCTGGAATTCATCCTGACGCCCAAGCCTACTGGGCCGGGAGCTCAGCGCTTTGAGTTTGGCACCGCTTCGCAGAAACCGGTTGGAGGAAAAGCAGGGTGCTAGTCGGAGAAGACGTGGAAGCCGAAAAGCGGGTGGTAGGCGTAGTGGGTTATTGGGGCCTCAGGGGTTCGTGGCAGTAATATAGAGCAGACCCCTCCTAGCCTCGGCTCCCCAACCCCAACAAAGCATCCCGACGTGAAGCCGAGCATTCAAAGTCAGCAGTGGCCCAGCAAAAAGTCAGGGTATCGACCCCCAAGCTGACTCTACGGAATCCCCGAAGCGTTTCAGCTCCCGAGCCATCCACCTGCAGTGAAGTCGATACCTTTAAGGAGCTGGTCCTGCCACCTTCGGAGATCGAGAATGTTTGCCTCCTGACAGGCCCAGACGCTGTAGTTTAAGTGCAAGGGGCGGTGAGAAACCCTAAACCCTAAAAACCAAACCCGAAACCCCAAAAACTAAACCCTAAACCCTATACCCTAAAAACTAAACCCTAAACCGGCCCCTATGGGATGCTTTTCCAGAGCATCTTCGGGGGCCTGGGGGTGACAAGACGTCTGTTTTTTGCACGTCATGTTCTCCGTCTGTCGCAGAGAGGCCGGTCTCTTTAAGGTGTCCTTTAAGGGGTTTAGGGGTGTAGGGGTTTAGGGTTTGGGGTTTAGGGGTTTAGGAGTTTAGGGTTTAGGGGTTACGGTGTCAGTTAAGGGGTCCTTTAGTTCAAGCCCTCCGTCCTCTAAGAGGTCCTTTAAGGCCCGACCCATGCACCGCCCAGACTGTCAAAAGCGGGCCGTGTCGAACATCCGGCAGATTGCCAAGGCGGGTCCTGAACCCCAAATCCTTACAATATCAGTGGTAAGTAATATAACGGTAATGTAAATGCGTAGTAATATAGTAGTAATGTTAATGGTACCATAATTGTAATCTAGTCGTGTAGCATCCTGGTAACAATGGTATATACTCAATGGTATCATAATGGCGATATAAGAGGAATAAAATTTGTAACGTGACTATACCTAGAGCCGTTAGCAGTCTCAGCGCCAACCTAGTAGCTTTTCACCACTTTCACAGATCGAGGCGCACAGTATATGAACTCAGATTACAAGACTCAGACTTTTCCACAGCGCAGGAGATCCCCCGTAACCATCCGCTTGTGTCATCTGCCATTGAAGCTCGATCAAGCCGTGTTAGTATCACTCCGGTGAAGGCTGCATAAACAAAGCCCGAAAACAGGGGTCGCGCGACGCAGGTGAATCATCAGCAGGCTCTGCCAGTTCTGCAAAGACGTGTGAGCAAATTGGGCTACAAAGACGCTTGGCATCCATGTACTTGGCTGAAGAACATGCTCAAATCCAATGTTTTCCAGTCTGCGACTGCTTTCAGCAGGTAATAATAACGGTTATGTTTTTATCACTGAGATGAGAACACTAGTAAATTGAAGTATTGGTGCTGCTCTTACATCAAGCTTGCCGCTGAAAACCCGGGATCTTGTCCCGGACATTGGAGCATGGCCTGAGGACATGGACTTGTGGACGACTCTGTCGTGGGTCCGCGACTTCGCGTGCTTTGGCGAGAAGAGTTGGTTTTTTATCTGCGTTGATGCTTTGTCAGTATGCCGTGCCGTGCCATGCCGTCTTCAGCGCGTAGACATGCGGTTTGATATTATTCTGTAGTTATTGCTTGTTTCGGGCGTGCGCCATAGGAAGTGTGGTACATTGAAGAATTACGGCTGCATGTCTGAACACACCAGGCCGTTGATTGTCCACATCCACTTCGACCGGATGTGGCAGTTCATCATAGAGGACCCGAAACCCTTCTACGGGACTAGAAATGCTTGATTACTGTATACTATACTACCCCGGTTGGGTTGACCTGACTATATACGTGCTACAAGTAGACTTTCGAGCATTCACTCTTGAACAGCCAAAGGAAAGCTCTCAGGTGGGGTTTCTGGCCCGGGGCTGATGGTTCGGCTGCACAGCCTGATCAGCTTCTTCGAGCTTTTCAAAGGTGCAGGAGGGTTTGTACGAACACCTATTTTAAAAGCCTGTAGATGCTGCACACGTCAGGCACTTTGCAGCATAGCCGCTGCAGAAGGCACAGCGAGTTAACACTCGAAGTTCATCAACAAAACTCCTTCTCCCCCCGATCGGAAAACCAGGTTGTTGTGAAGGAATTGAACTTAAGTTACCACAACGAGGAACATGAGGAAGCCATAATTTTTGTTACTCCAGATCCCTGTTATGGTGAATTCCATCGAAATCCTTGACAAGAGCCCAGAAAAGGGAGCCGGGGCAAGATGTCCAGGTTCCTGTAGGACGGGTTATCGGAGGTGATGCAGCTCCTGTTCGGGTAAGCAGCGAGTTTGTGAGATCAAGCGCTGGCTGGCCGTCCCGAAGTCATGCATTTGTTCAGAATGCCGATGTCATTTCATTTCGGGACTGGTATGGCGCGTTTGTCCAGGGGCCATCCGATGTTCATTGAGCTTCAAGTGAACTGCAGGACACCCACTATCGGTCCCAGACACTTGTCTGCAGAATCGCTTTACCGCAATGAGTTCGAGTGATGTTGTTTCAAGATCCCCTTGTATGCACTCCAAAGACTTATGTTTAACATGAACTTGAGCACCTGGAACTGATTACGACCTTCTTACTAGAGTCCCAGTCTCCTGAAAAGCAACGGCGAACCCTAGGAGCCTGAAAGGCTAAGTCTGAACGCCTACATCCTCAACCCCTGAAGCCCTAAAGCCCTAAAAACCCCGAGGCCTACAGTATAACCTTCAACCCTGAAGTCATGACCACCAACCCTAACCCTAAACCCTAAACCCCAAAGCCCTATACTTTTGGCAGCTGAGGTTCGAAACTGGGAAGTCCTGTGGTCTTAACAACCGGGAGGTCCGTGACCGCTGGGAGCGCGACCTTTTTCAAGGCACGGGCCTTCAGTGTGTGGCCCTTCTTTTCTTTAGGGGTTCCTCTAAAGAGATCCTGTAAGTATTTCTATAAGGCTTTTATGAGGGGTTATGTGATGTGGGGCCTTAGTTTTGGGCTTATAGGGCCTTCAGAATTGGGATAGGCTTCGTTTACATTTCTACGATACGGCTTTTACAAGGGCTGCATGCTGAGGGGGTCTTGCTGCTTCGACTAGGGGATTTGGGGATAATCTTCTGTGCTTACAATCAGGAACCCTTAATGAAGACTAGTGTAGTAAACCCTAAACCCCTAAACCCCTAAACCCTAAGCCCCTAAACCGTGGCCCCTGCAGCCGGCCGTTGGTTCATGGCTTAGGGTTCAGGGTGTATAGGGGGTGGCATTAGCAATTCAACCAATCTGGTTGTTCGGGGTATATCATAGCCGAATTATGTAACGACTGCGCCAAGTGATATTTGATGCGCACTTCCCTTTAAATGGATCCCAGGCTTTAGGATTTAGGTTTGGGGCGGTTTGGGGTTTAGGAGTCAGGATTACCTCACTCACAGTTTTTGTGATTGCGGCTTTTGAGGTTTAGGCAGTGCCCGCGCATAGCATGGATTATTTGGCTTCCACACTAGTAGTAGCCATGGCAATAGTAATGCCACTTGTTATTGTTACTGTAATTTTGGGAACCTCCAGAAGTTACCCGTAGAGGCGCTTACAGTGGCTGCCGCGACTTCGAGCGGCCCAAGTATGGAGTCCTCAACGTGCACAACGATTCTAGGCCGTTCTGGCAAGTATTCTTCATGTTCCATACAGAGTGGCGGTGTATTCATAAAAGGGAATATAGGTTACCATTTTAAAATGGCCTTCAACAACAGCCCAGGATTATCGTGGAGTCGTCCGAGCCAAACAGTACGGCCGCAGAGCTGCAGTTGAAAGCGGTTCTTTGCCTTCGTTTGTGGCGAAAGAGTTGCAGCGGCATTTTCTTGTCCCAGCATCTAAGGAGACTGCTACATTGTTTTGAAGGACGTGCGCCTTCGCACAACTTTCTCTCCTGAGGACTTTCGGCATCAAGCTGTTTCTATCGCGAGTCGCGAACACACAAGCACAATCTTGCGGCGAAGCCCTTTGAATAACGCCAGCTTCCGTTCCAACTCGCGAGGACTCCGCCAACCTAAAGGCAGAGCGATTGGCCTGTTTGGACTACTACGCTCATGTCGGGAGCTGAGGTGTCAACGTGAATATAAGCCTGCGTGAGTGGCATGTAATATAGTATAGGGGCCTAAATGATATCTACCAATACTGTTGTGGGGGGGTTCCTAATTATAAGTATAGAATAGTGGCCAAAATCTTGTCTTTCTCCGCATGACAATCCTGTAGCTGCTCTAAATCAATGGCACCAGGAATTCGGTGCCATGATGCAATCTATCATGCAGTCGTATCACTCACAAGCTTTGAGCTTAATTTGCTCTGAGAGTTCTTGTTCATGGGGATGCACATGTCACTCTGCGTGTCTTTGCTCGCCCCGGCGTTCAGTCCGCAGCACACCCCAAAACCCTCTTCTAATTATTAAGGCCCGTAAATGAGCACCGTAGCAGCAAGAAGTGTCAAGAAGGTGTTTCCAATCACCGTCACACCAACAGCCATGATCCTGTAGATGCACAAATGTGTCGTCGACGTCATCGTTGTTGTTGTGGTGGCGGCGATGTTGGCTTTACATGCAATGACATACCACGACATGTTACTTTCCAGCACCACAACTGGCTCCTGCCTCCTTCAGCATAGAGTGCGGAAGGTCCTCAACGAGTACACAGACAACGAGCTGGAGGAGACCCTCAAGGTTTCCTGGGCAGACGAGCACAGTTTGCTCGGAAGTGATCCTTCTAGCCATCATCACAGCGTAGTGAGTAGTGATGCAACCTACCATCCGAGGTTCGGATTCATGGTTTGTACGCTTCAGAATTTCCCACCCACCCCCCCCGGCCCCGGCTCCGCCGGTCCGTCATGCACCGGTCCTTGTGATTGCATGGCGTCGCTTTGGCGAAATTCCGCTTGGCCGGGCAACTGTATTAACAGTCTAGCAACGTGGTGGCTGACTCTTGCCCTTCTTAAACTTAATTATCATATTACGGTGTCGCATTCTGCATGTCATATGTTTCAACATTAAAGGACTTCATGCTCTTCGCTCGCTCGGGTACTTCAGATGTCCGAGTCAAACGAAATCTCTTCCAGGAACGTATTTGGAGTCTAGGCCTAGGCTTTAGGTTCGAGGGCTCGTGTTTCGGTTTAAGAGGCGTGGTGCGAGCATAGCTAGTTCCTGGCAGGTGGCATTGAAGCATTCAGCAGGCATAAAGGTCAGTACTTTAGAATTACGGGCCCTCACACGGGAATCGTTATATTGCGGATCCTACTGTATTCCGAAACTGGCATGCGCAATACAGATCCCACAACGGCGAACCTGACTTGCTCGCGAGTGCCCTGTGCGACTGCAGCCAGCATCAGGTGGCCACGACTGGCAAGCTGGGCAGTTCAGAATCCATTGTGGCCAAGGGCCTCAAGTACAAAGAGGTGCCTCCCAACTCTTGTGGCTGCTACCGGTACTTCTGCGCTACTGACATGATATGTGTGTGTGTGTACATATATATATATAAGTATAAGTATATATATATATACATACATACATAATACAACTACATAACTACATACCTGCATGCATACACACATACACACAGGGGCGTGCCTGCACACTTGCGTACTTACTTGCACACATAAGTCCATGTGCTTGTAGATGTCTGGGTCATGGCTGTGCAAGTAAAGCTGCGAATAGTGTGATAACATGCCTTTAGGTTTTGTCGGGGCTTAAAAATACTCTCTGGCAGCTACTCGTCCCATGCTCCCCGCCACAGGCTCAGTACCACGGAGAGATCGCCTGGGCGCGCCACGTCGAGCGCTTGGTGCTCCCCAAGGCAGGGAAGCCTGAAGGTCGAAAAATCTCCCGAAAGCACCAGCTCTGAACCTCCTGAACCCTAAACCTTAAAGTCCTAGTAAACCCTAAACCTTAAAACCCTAAACCTTGAAATCCCTAAGCCCTAAACCCTTTAAACCCGAAGATTTGAAGGATCCTAAAGACATAACCCCTCTTACAGGCCTCGACCTTCTCCGTTCTTTTTGAAGCTGGGTGTCGGCTGAGTAGCCGAGCGGATTTCGCCATCGGGCCCTAGGTCTTGTGAATCAGGTAGAGTTTCAATAGATTGTTGTGTATCTGTAACTATAGTATATGAGGTGCGGGTTTATTATTATTCTGGACTATTCTGGGCCATAAGGTATAGTTTTACTGTTCTTTAAAACTGTAGGTACAGAAGTCCTTACTACGACTACTTGCTCCAGAAAGGTAGCTTTTCTCGGTGAGATCTCTAGAAGTGCCGACACAGCACGGGCTGCAGGGGCAAATTTGCTTTCTAGGCTTCTCTCGTTGTGGCTCTCTCAAAGCCTGAACCCATGACATACATTTCCCGCAGGCCCCATTCACCTTAAGGTCTCTATGCTAGACTCCAAGCGAGCCTAGCCAGGGCGAAAAGTACGACAACGCGGAGATGGTAGCCCACATCAAGGCAACTCTCCTTGGAGTTGGATCCTTGTGGTAGCCATGAGCTGCCTCGTGGCAGAAGACCTTTGAGAACACGTAGGAGAACAATTAACGAAGCATATCTGAATGGTTTGTGCTTGCCTATGCATGAACATCTTTGCATGGATGGATTTAGGTAAATGCGCCATGTCTCTTTCATCAGGGATTTCGGGTTTGGGAACGATAGGCGCAACAAAGCGGATGTTCATTATACAGAGCCCCAGAGGACACTGCTGAGTTCAGCAGCTCCCAGTTTACGCACCTCTTACGCTCCTCACAGACTTGCAGCGTGACATACCCGAGAGCCGCCCCCATTCGAGCTGCCTGGCCCGTCTCTTCATTTTTCGTCACCTTGAATCCTAGCCTTGAAACCTTACTATCCGATCCTGCAGCCCAAAACTTACCCTCAGCCTTAGAAGCCAAATCCAACCGTCCTCCATCTCCGAAAGCGTAAACCCCACCAAACCTTCATTTCGAACGCGCCAGATTGGAAAAAACTGACCGAATAGCAGACGAAGAAACCGTATAAACAGATAAACGCCAACAGCCAAAAGCGCACACGCGCGCACACATACACACACATACACAAATGATATCGCGTGCAAGTATGCATGGATGTATGTATGTATGTATGTATGTATGTGTGTACGTATGTGTAGAGTAGTTCATGCAGTGACGCACACAGGCGGCCTGTGACAAAAATGGCTGGGAGCGGCCGCCTCAAGAACTGCCAGCTGGAAAGAGGGATGCGGGAGTTTTGGGGTGATGAGGGGCTTATTACGTACGGTTTTGGGGCTTGCTGTCTGAGGTCTTTGGGGCGTACCATGAGGGGCGGATGAGTTTTTGGTAGAAGTTTGTCTGTGCAAAATAGCACCCCAAATCCTGCATACCCCTGGGCTCTAAACCTTGGGCTTTTCTGTTCTTGTTTCTGCGGGGCTAGAACGGCATTTGAGGTTTCACAGTAGGGTGACGGCATTTAGGAAGCAGGCCAGGCACCGTAGATCCAACGATGTTGGCTCTGCTTAGGTGGTGTTGGGATGTGGACGAAAAAGCACGAAGAGAGAAGCTGGAGGTGCTTTGTGCAGTGCAGTATTTCGTCAGACTCGTTTGTACAGCTGCGCCAAGTTGATGCCACACGGTGACCCTAAACTTCCTAAACACTTTAAACCCCTAAACCTAGCCCCGGCGGAATCGAGCAGAGCACGGCGACGGTTTGTACAGGCAGAAGAAGCTTCAGACGACAAGATCAGTGCCTGGAAGGCGAAGTTGAAGGCGCCCAAGTGAGCTAGCTGCACGTAAACTCCTGTGCTGGTTGATCACAGTGCCTCGGCGGTCTGGATTCAGGGATCCGTAGGTAGGTCGGCAGGCAGGTAGGTAGGTAACGGTAGGTAGGTCTAGGTAGGTACACAGCTTACTTGATCATAGTAGCAATGCAGATGGACATGTAGATGACTCGAGATGTTACAGGTGCGTGTGATGTCCAAGCCCGAGCCTGAACACCTCAACCCGGGCCCCCGCACCAACAACCCTGCAGCCATGCACTAGACCATAACTAAAATGAAACGCAACACGATACTAGTCCTTACTAAATACAACTATGACAGAACATAGCATATTTTGGACTATATTTTAGTACGGTGTAAGAATGATACAAAACAGACTATGAGGTAACCCAAGATCGTGTAAGCCAGCATAACGCAGGATACTATACAGTATACGCGTGCATATACATATGTATATATATATGTATAAAGATTGACATATATATATATATATATTATAATGTTGTCTACTATACATCTGAGCCTGTGTGTACATACATGTAGTAGTTATACGCTATCTTACTATCTACCTATCCATCCATCCATCCATCCATCCATCCATCCATCCATCCATCTATCCATCCATCCATCTATCTATCTATCTATCTGTGTGTGTGTGTATTATAGTTTACATACACGTGTTTTAAAGCCCTGACCTCAGGGCATCCCAAGCCTGTGCGGCAGGCCATGGCCGAAGGACCTTCCGAAGGCGTCAAAGTCCCTGCAGGCTGTCGGGAGCTGGTGAAGCAGTGCGGCTTGGGTTTTAGGGCTTCGGGGTTCAGGGTTTACAGTTTTGGATTCAACATAAAAGCCAAATAATTTTCCCTCCCTGGAAGTATTCTTCCTTATGCCCCATAATTATTAAGGTAGGAGTTTGGGTCTAGGGTTCAGGGTTCGGGGTTTAGGGTCTAAGGTTTTGGTTGGTGTTTTGGGTTCTTGTTGTGGTGTTGTGTTAGGTTTGGGCTCAGGCAGAAGAGCAGTAGCGACGAAACGTAGGACGGGCATCACCTCCGGCATTGCGACCGCGACCACTAACAAGCGCAACAGCAATTAAACACCTGAAGTCTCGAAGTAGCTCACATTCCTTTAGCCAGGGTGGCATGTGTCACACCGCAACAAGCAGTAATGAACTGCAACTGCAGCAACCATAGCGGATCGAGGCCTCTGCGTCAGGGGCTGCGGCAAGCCAGTGGCACCGGGGCTGACGAAGCACGGCAACCCCTACAAGACCTGCTGCCGAGGTGCCTGGGCAAAGAAGTAGGCGTAGCTGGTGGAGCACGAGATGTGACGTTTGCAGTAGAATTCTCAGATGGCACAGGTCGATGCGCACGACGAGCATAATAATTAATGCCCCTACATCATGGAAGGATCATCGTTCAGCTGCCTTGCCTTAAGGTTTCAGTTTTTTAAGCTCCTGTCTTAGCTCCTGGAGTGCCCGACTGGCTCTTGCTTGGGAGCACATTCCTATGGCTTCCCCACAAAAAAGCGCAGCACAGTGCCCCACAAAGCCACAGTTAGTTGGAGAGTGCAACTAACGAACTACAAATCGGTGAACTCTAAACCCCTCAGCCCAGAGCTCTTGAAGCAAAACTCGCCCAACGAAGACTCCTCTGATGACCCCCCCTAAACCCTAAGCCCCTATAAACCCTAAGCCCCCCAACTCACCTGCTTTCTTCCCAACAGGATGCGCTCTGGGTTTCGGACATGATCTCCGGTGCGGCCTCAAGGCGGCTCAGGGATGTTATGCTATGGGTTTGGGGTTTAGAGGGACATGAATACTAGAAAGATTAAGCTTCTCAGCGCTAGTATTGTGACTACTACTGTCGTCGCCATCATTCTTGCGGATGTTGCTGCGAGTTTAACAGTTTCGGCTTCATGCCTTGTTGGCGTCTAGGCTTTGAGGTTCAGTGGCTCGTGGTTTGGGTGGTTTGCGGAGGCAGATTGGGAGGCAAACAGCTTAAGATTGAGCTGTTGAGCTCAGACTCAGGCACAGGCAGTTGCATCAACGCCCTGTGGCAGCACCATCGTCGTCCCCAGTGTACCTGAGCTTGCGACGGCAGTAGCCCCCTGCTCGAACTGAGTCATCCTGCGTTTTAGCAGCCCCATAACTCCGAAACACTCGTAGCCCCTGGTGACGAGGACGGTGAGCGCCCTCCCTGCAAGATGGGATGTGGCATGCTTGCAGCCCCAGGCGAGGAGAGACGAAGTCTTCGCGTGGCACAACAGCCTGTATCATGCAGTATTATGTTTTTGTATTCTATACATGCATGCATGCGTGCATGCAAGCATACATACAGAAACAAATACACAAGCACACAAACCTACGCAACTGAATAGTTGTTGGTTTTTGTGTATATATGTGTAAGTTTACAGAGAGGGGGAGCGAGAGAGAGAGAGTTAGAAGTAATCAGCTATAAATATAAATATATTTTGTATATATATATATACACACACATACACACACCTTTCCTCAACTAAAGATCTGCCAGGCAAGACTGCCAAGGGCCGCCCACTGGACACCTGCTGCCGGAAGTGTGCCAAAGCAGAGGCCCGTGGTTTGGGGACAGGCCCCCCGTACATGCCCTGCTTAAAACACTCGTATAGTTTCCCAAAAGATGTTTTATTGGTTTTCCCTAGGAAAAAATCGGCTTCTGCTTGGAAGAGTACAGTGTTGCTGTTACGTGCGTGCTCACGTCGAACCTGAACGAGGTGCCTGGCGGTTGGTTCTTGAATAGAAGCGTACAGTGTTGTGGTTGAGTGACACGTCGAACCTGAACGAGTTAACCGGCGTTTTCTCTTGAAATGTGAGTTTGGTTTTGAAAGTCTTTGAGAGACACAGAATCCGGACCTGCAGGAAAAGCTGGTTTAACACGGTACTTACGATACAAAACGAGGGTCGGTGGTTCATGGGGGGGTACCATATAGTGTTGTACATTATATTACCTGTGTGTATACATGTATGTGTATATATATATATACACATACATACATACATACTTACATGTCCGAGGATGGCGAGACCGACCGCCACGATGCGCGCTGCAGACAGGATCCGGTCCCGCTACACTGCACACCGGCCCGGTAACTGCGAAAGTGGAGAGCCAATGATCCCACAGAGAGACTGAGAGAGGGGCCAGGATTCTAGAGCTTGGGGGTTTACGGGTTTAGGGGTTGGGGGTATGAGGTTGGTGGGTTCGGAGTTTAGAGTTTTAGGGGTTTAGCGCTGAAAGCCTCAAGGCTTCAAGGTTCAGCGTGTATAGATGCGGATACAGAAAGGTCGCTATGGTCCGCCATGGTATATGTTTTGATTTCAGGACACATGTGCATGGAAGAGAGTTTATGACAAGCCCTTATCAACAATTTTTCAACTATCCTAGGACCCGAAAGTTTAAGGTTTAAGACTGTTCTTTCTAGGCAGAGCCGGTGCGGTACCTCGCAAGCTGCATCTCAACACTTCCCTGTGGGTTCAGCTGCTTCCAAAGCTTTGGGCCCCAGGGGGGGGTAGGGGTTGGGGTGTGGATTTAGGGTTTATGGTAGGCTCTGATACGAAAGGCAAACCTAAGTAGCATACCATAGCGGGTTCTCCACAGCACGTCCAGCACCGGAATGATTCGCATGTCGTGGCATGTGGCTGCTTGCGCCCAGAAAGGGATTTGTGGCCATGCTGCGCTTTTCACGTAGACGTAGCAGTTCGCGTTTTGCGCGAAGCCGTGCTACAACGTGCCATCTCTGCGGAAAGAACTTCGTGGGACATGCCATGCCAGGGCTGCATCCTGGTTGACATCTCATGCTGCGTCGAGCACGCAGCGCAAATTGGGAGCCTTCGCACGCCAACGGTGCATGTGAGGCCCGACAGCGTGTACCGCGATCTTTGCCCTGCCGGCTTCTACTGCGCTGAGGCATCATACTCAGAGGATGTCAGAGGTGGTTGGCTAGAATCTGCGGCTAGAATCTGCCAGAAGGTCCACGGTTCTTGCCCAAGGGAAGTGTTACCAGCGATCTGGCATCGGGCTTCAGTTTGAGATCCCTGCTGTCCAATCTCCGCTATAATTGTGTTGATATCCAGGCGACAACCTACATCAATCGATACAAGTTCCGGTGCCCGTTGGGTCGCCGCCCCAGCATCCAGCGCGGTCTGCCGTGCATCTGCTCAGTTTCCGCCCTCCTCGGCTTGAGGCCTAAACCCGGATCCTAAACCGCCTTGAATTCTTCCCGAAGCCGCAAACCTTACTACTCTTACACCTGAGGCTTCTATTGCCCGGAAGGAACCGGTGCCCGCGCAGACCTGAAGTGACCCGGCTGGTGTTGTTGAAATGGGGTCGAGATGTATCCTCAGTTTCTGCAAAGGTTATGACGGTTATGATGACGTTTAAGAACATGTTTAGTATTAATGCCGCGATGATTATCTATTGTCATTTGTTATGTTCATCCTTCTAAAAGCTATGGTGATCGTTGTTCATTTCGCTGCATGCCAGGCGACCTCTTCTTCAGGGCAGTGTCTGCGTGGAGAAGCAGGAGTTCTACTTGACACAGAAGGCTGGCAGGGAGATGCTTTACAAAAGGAGCCGGAATAATTTGGTAGTAATCCTGCCCCCATAGCGCCTTCTAAGCTTGCGCCAACCAGTGAGCTTGGGTTCCAAACCCTAAACCCAAAGGCCCCGAAACCCTGAAGCTACAGAACCCCAAAGCCCTGAGCCCCTGACCTTCCGAAGCCCATCCGATCTTGAGGTGGCGCAGTACTGCCTGCGGCAGATCATGCGAAACAACTTCGAGTTCGTAGCGCTGGAGCAGCTCCGTCTCGCCCGGGTGGGGGCCCCCCTTGTAGAGCACACGCTTTGCAGGTGATAGAAGTGTATGCTGCATCTGCTCATTAAGGGTAGTAGCGTCAGAAATTCGCTTCCCCCTGTTATGAAACCACCCCCTTAAGTATTAAGCAAGCACTTCTCGGAAAATCTTGCAGAAATCATCCCCGCCTTTTACAACCGAGTTTGAACTAGGGTGGGTTCAGGAACGAGGCAGGAGCACGAACAAGAACAAACGCAAGAGCAAGAGAAGGAGCCAAAGCAGGAGCACGAGCAAGAGTAGGAAAGCAAGAGCAAGAAACGCAGCGGTAGCAGGAGCAAAAACATCCCAGCAGGAACAAGAGCAATAGCAAGATCTCCAAAAGTGACGGCAGTGATAACACTCCCGCAAATAATAAACTATTATTAGAGGGAAGGGATCAGACAGTGTAAGTTGATGATGGGTTATGGAAGGTTGTTGAGTGATGGCAAGAAGTGATGTTGATGGCCGGGAACTTAAACAAAGGCAGCACTTCTGCCTTAGGCCAACCTTCCCCTCATCGACAAGAAGGAGCAGACGGAGATCCAGAGCAGTTGGATGGAGGCCTTGATCTAAACCCCAAACCCTAAGCCCCAAACCCAATAAGCCCCAAATCCGAAACCCTAAACCCAGACCAGATAGACTCCAAACTTTAAGCCCGGAAGTCTCAACCCCGAGTTCGGAGGCTTCTGATTTAGTGGCTTGGTTCTTCGGGCGGTGCTTCTGTTCAACAACTGGCAGTGTCGTGCTGTAAAAAATTCTTTCCTGGGGGTTCCCTCCTGTCATTCTGCTACGACATACCCTTCAGGAGTGAGTGTGAGCGCAGCTTCCATCGATCCTCAGCTATGTCACTATGTGTCCCGAACCCGCCACTTGAGGCTTGTCTGTGAGTCCACTATGGCCCAAAGACGACCTCCTACTGTTCAACTGTGATAGCTTCTATGAAGTCCCCGCAACCGACAACCCAACACAAACTTATAAAGCCTAAAACCTCAGCCCCAAACCCTGAGCCTTTGGGTGGGAGAGCCCTCTCCGAGCTTCTTTTACAGCAGGACTACGATCTCGGGTACTGCCAAGAGGATGCCATCATGGCGGTTTTGGGCCCCAGCTGAGCTTCGCTTCAGCACTGAAGGGCAGGTCTTGTGAGGCTATGTATTTTCCAGGCCAGGATTCCAGAACCGGGTTCTGTGAAAAGTGCCGAACTTCGTGCCATGTCTTATCTGAAGTAATCCGGCAGTTCTTACGACAAAGGCCCTCTGGCCCAACCCCTAAACACCCCACGCTAAAAGTAGGAGAGTTCATATTTGGGGGGATGAGTGTGTTGGTACCTTTAGAAATGAGAGTAATGGATATGAATGCAGACACACATACAGCTAGATCTGGCATCTGGCAAACGAAGTGAACCCATAGCCTAAACCTGAGGCATCTGACACTTACCCCCACCTAAACCCTAAACCCCGAACCCTTAACCCTTACCCCCCACCTAAACCCAGACCCTGGACAGACCTTTGGCCGATCCACTCTGCGAGGTGTGGCGCAAGTTTAAAGGCCACGACCTGCAGGCCGGTTCCTCTGCGGGTCCCAAATAGGGCTTTAGAAATACCTCTCACATTTGCTGCTACAGTTTAGGGTATGGGGTTTGGGGTTTAGAGTGTAGGGTTTAGGGCTTTCTATACCTTCTCAGATTTGCTGCTACAGTCTCCCAGTCCAACTGCACGCTCTACAGCTGAAAAGCGACTACCGTCGCTCACGCCGGTTGCATGACGTTAGCAGGCACTTGCACTGGTGCCCGCTTTCCTTTCAGAAGGCAAACGCCTCAAATTTTGGCACCCGCTTCGATTTCACCCCCCCCCCCCCCCCCCC